TCTCACACTATGATCGTATTGGAGTCTATTTCTCCCTTTAAACCCATTAATATTTGTTTCACGTAGCTAGATGCTTTGGCGTTTGGAGTGTATACATTTAGTGTGCTGATCTCTTCTTGCTGAATGCATCCTTTGATCATTATGTGGTATCCTTCTTCATCTCTTTTGATGCTCTTTACGTCAAAGTCTATGTCATCTGATACAAGAATGGCTACACCTGCTCGTCTTTCCTTACCATTTGCTTGGAATACCTTTTTCCATCCTTTCACTTTCAGTTTCCTCTGATCTTTGTTGGTGAGATGTGTCTCCTGTAAGCAGTACATAGCTGGGCGTTGGGTTTTGATCCAGTCCTCCAATCTATGGTGTTTGACTGATGAGTTTAAGCCGTTTACATTCAGCGTTATTATGGATAAGGGGCAGTTTGGTCCTGTCATTTTAGTGATGTGTTGTTCCATGATTTAGTCTTCTGTTAGCATTTTAGTGGGATGTTCTCCACATTTGCCTTTGTTTTTGGTAGTTGCTATTCCTTTTTTCTTTCATGGAAACATCTTTGGGTATCATTTGTAGGGCAGGTTTAGATAAGACAATTTCTTGAAGTTTTTCCCTTATTGTGAAAGAATTTTATTTCATTTAAAAGACAAAGGAGTGCTTTGCAGAATATGTTATTCTGGGCTGAAAATTTTCTCTTTTAGAATCTGGAAAATGTTACTCTATTCTCTTCCGGCCTGTACTGTTACCTCTGAGATGTCAGCTGTGAGTTTGATTGGGGTTCCTCTGTATGTCACTCTTGTTTTTATCACGTGTACATTTAAGGGTTTTTTTCTTTTTGTTCAACTGAAGAGAGCTTGATTATCATGTGTCATGGTGAAAGTTCATTTTTGGTTAACTCTGTTGGGAGTTCTGTAGCCCTCCTGTATGTTGTTTTTCAGTTCTTTCTTCAGATTAGGGATGCTTTCATTTATCATTTCATTGAATACACCTTTAGTCCCAAGTTCTCTGACTGCGCCTTCTTGAACTCATATAACTCTTATGTTGGGCCTTTCAGTGATGCCTTTTAATTGTTGGATACTTCTTTTCGCTTGACCCAGCTCTGCTTCCAGTTTTTGTTTGTTTCTTCATGGTGACAGAAAATATCTTCCAATTCTGAAATTCTTTCTTCTGCTTGCTTCATTGTATTTTGGAGACTCTCCACTGTATTTTAATTTGCTCCACTGTATTCTTCATTTCTGCTATATCAGCCTTCATTTGATTCATTGCTGCTATTTCTTGTGTAACATATTCCTTAAATTCTTTGAACTCTTGTATGTGCTTCTCAGTGTTGATCAGAAGGCAAAGCTTTTCTTTGTGTTTGAAAATGAAATACAATTCTTCATATTAAAGTTAAAAGACTATGCCTCTTCCAACCCTGCCTTACAAATGGTACTTAAAGATGTTCTCTTGACAGAGAAGAGCAATAGTGCCCACTAAAACCAAAGGCAAATCTGGAGAATGTCCCAGTGAAATAACAACAGAAGACTGAATTAGTAATCAACAACCCATCGCTAAAATGACAGGACCAGAGTACCACCCATTCATATTAACCCTGAATGTAAATGGTTTAAACTCCTCAATCAAACGTCATTGATCAGTAGACTAGATTAAAAAAAAATCCATCTTATCTGTTATGTACAGAAAGCATATCTCAGCAACAAGGATCAGCAGAAACTGTATCATGGATTTTGAGTTTTTAAATTTAATTTCATCTCTTCAAAGCACTTTCTTCCTTATTAGATTTTTCACTGACTCATAGATCATACAGTAGCATCATTTTCTTCAAGAAGGTTCTTGATTTTTTACATTTTTTCAGTGACGCATTATTATTCAGTAGTGTGTTGTTTAACTTCATGTCGTTTTAGTTTCTTTTTTTCTTTCTATTGCTGCTTTTGTATTGTGGCTTTTCATTTAAGGGTTGTATAGTAACTGTGTAATGGAGACTATCATGTCCAGATGTGAGGATACAATGCAGTGCGCATCAGTACTTCTAGACGAAGATGGACTCCCAATGAAACTTTAACTATGTTTTGACAATAGGATGTTGGGCTGTTTGCCATGGTCCATGCCCACAATGACACGTATGACTGTTTATGCGGAACTGTATTACAGAAATAATGGAAGGGAACTCTGGGGGGAGGGAGAGAACTTGGGGAAGGGGTAATGGAAATCTCAGGGCCTGTGGAACTGTATCATAAAATGATCATTTTTAAAAAGTAAAAAGAAAAGAATAGCATGTGGAGAAAAACAAACAACAAATAAATAAAAATATATCTCGTCTTCATCCTTTCCTCTTGTTGGGACACTTGTAGACATGACGCAGGCCCTCTCAGCTGACTTCCTGAGAGCTGTGTTCTGCTGTGTGGTTTGTCCTCCTGGCTTCCTGTCACACCTGGCCATTGTTCACCGGGAGGAGTGTTCTCAACAGAAGGGCTCTAGTTAGTCCCTTCCTCAGGAAAGCATTTGCTTCCTGCTGCCGCAGGGTGAGCAGAGGTGACCCTGCTCATGCTGGGAGGCCCCTTTGGAGTGCTAGGCTGCCCGGCAGCCCGCCAGTGGCCTGAGGTCCCTAAAGGGCGCCGGCCCCTCCAGCTCAGGGTGACCAGAAACTCTACTGGTTTTTGTGCTTCTCCAGCAGCAGCTGCTCTGCTGGGAAAGGTCGAGAGCCACGGCCTCTTGGCTTCAGAGCCCACCAGTGGATGCTGACTCTGCCATTCCCGCTGAGTGCTGAATGTAGGGACATTTAGGGAGCCAACACCAAGATGCTGGCACCTGTTTGAGAGCAGCTGGGCCTTCCATGTCGAGAGGGTACTGTTACCAGTGCTCAGGCCATAAGCCCACAGGTTTTCACTTTGGAACCCTTTGGCCTCAGCCCTCAGGAAATAGATTTTGCCCGCCTTGAAACAATTCCTTCTGGCTAATCCTCCTGATAGCTGACCTGAACAGCAGGTGTAAGTGCCAGCAGGGAGGTGAGTTAAAACATCACAGATCAGGGCTGGGGTCATGGCCTGTGATCCTAGGTTCCCCCTTCGGGGTGCCTGAGTCGTGGCTGCTCTGCTTCTGCTCCAGCTTCCTGCTTCTGTGCCCTGGGCAGTGAGGTGGGCCTAGGGTTGGGCCAGCATTGCACTCTGTCCACTGATCGGTGTCATTCCTGTTATCCTTGTTTCCAACCAGTGTCTTCACTGAACTCGCATCAGCTGCAGCTCAGCATTCTCTCAGCTCCACATTTAGGCTTACGTCTGCACAGGCAGTAGTGCTAGGTGAAGTCACGTGCATCTTGGGGCCGCAGTTCATCTCACTGTGGCTTCCATTCCCAGACTTTTGTGGTCCCACTGTGTTTTCTGATGCAAGTGACTCCTTTCTCAGGGGAAGGAGGCGGTGGCTGTTAGATGGATTTGGGTTTGGTCGTTGGCCTTCAGAGCCAGAATGGCAGTCCAAGCCCAGAGTTAGAGGAAGGGGAGAAGGAGCCCCATGTCTTCCATGTGGCCTTGAGAAAAATGGGTGAGTTGGGGAGAATGCCCTGGCCAGGTGCCCCAAGTGCCAGCAGTACCAATGGGCCATGTGGATGCTGAGTACATTTCCACAACCTTATTGCAAGGGTTTACTGTCTGCCTGTAGGCAGAAGTTTAGAAACTGATGTCGCTGTTCAGGAGGAGAGGGGCAGTGACTTCTCAGCTCTGAATGTGAGGAGGGACTGTCACTCCTGGTGGGCTGCAGCAGGGGCCCCGGAGGGGACGGTCACTCCTGGTGGGCTGCAGCAGGGGGCCCCGGAGGGGACTGACGGTCACTCCTGGTGGGCTGCAGCAGGGGGCCCCGGAGGGGACTGATGGTCACTCCTGGTGGGCTGCAGCAGGGGGCCCCGGAGGGGACTGTCACTCCTGGTGGGCTGCAGCAGGGGGCCCCGGAGGGGACGGTCACTCCTGGTGGGCTGCAGCAGGGGCCACGGAGGGGACGGTCACTCCTGGTGGGCTGCAGCAGGGGGCCCCGGAGGGGACTGACGGTCACTCCTGGTGGGCTGCAGCAGGGGGCCCCGGAGGGGACTGATGGTCACTCCTGGTGGGCTGCAGCAGGGGGCCCCGGAGGGGACGGTCACTCCTGGTGGGCTGCAGCAGGGGCCACGGAGGGGACGGTCACTCCTGGTGGGCTGCAGCAGGGGCCCCGGAGGGGACTGACGGTCACTCCTGGTGGGCTGCAGCAGGGGGCCCCGGAGGGGACTGATGGTCACTCCTGGTGGGCTGCAGCAGGGGGCCCCGGAGGGGACTGTCACTCCTGGTGGGCTGCAGCAGGGGGCCCCGGAGGGGACGGTCACTCCTGGTGGGCTGCAGCAGGGGGCCCCGGAGGGGACTGTCACTCCTGGTGGGCTGCAGCAGGGGGTCCCAGAGGGGACTGTCACTCCTGGTGGGCTGCAGCAGGGGCCCCGGAGGGGACGGTCACTCCTGGTGGGCTGCAGCAAGAGGGTCCCAGAGGGGACTGACGGTCACTCCTGGTGGGCTGCAGCAGGAGGCCCCGGAGGGGACTGATGGTCACTCCTGGTGGGCTGCAGCAGGGGCCCCGGAGGGGACTGTCACTCCTGGTGGGCTGCAGCAGGGGGCCCCGGAGAGGACGGTCACTCCTGGTGGGCTGCAGCAGGGGGTCCCAGAGGGGACTGTCACTCCTGGTGGGCTGCAGCAGGGGCCCCGGAGGGGACGGTCACTCCTGGTGGGCTGCAGCAAGGGGGTCCCAGAAGGGACTGACGGTCACTCCTGGTGGGCTGCAGCAGGAGGCCCCGGAGGGGACTGACGGTCACTCCTGGTGGGCTGCAGCAGGGGCCCCGGAGGGGACTGACGGTCACTCCTGGTGGGCTACAGCAGGGGGCCCCGGAGGGGACTGTCACTTAATATTGCTTCTTCCCTGTATTCGCCTCTCGTGAGTTGAATTCTGAGAGTGAAGTACAGCTGCTTTCCTACGTCATCTGACTCTCCTCTTTTCTCCAGATCGAGGAGACTGGCAGAGGGAAAGGAAGTTCTCCTATGGTGGTGGCAACAGCAACCCGCCCTGGGGCAGCGACAGGCACCACCAGTATGAGCAACACTGGTACAAGGACCACCATTACGGGGACCGGCGGCACATGGATGCCCACCGCTCAGGGAGCTATCGGCCCAACAACTTGTCCCGGAAGAGACCTTATGATCAGTACAGCAGCGACCGAGACCACCGGGGACACCGAGATTACTACGACAGGTATGTGGGAGGCGGGGGTGCTGTGTGGGTCAGCCCGGGGCCATTGAGGATGGGCCTGCAGAGCTGCGGACACAGTGACTCATGGTGGTCCGGAGTTGGGGGTGGGGGATTTTCCAGAGGGTTGAGGATACGGGGAGCCTGCTGTTCCTGGTATGGGCCCCAAAGAGTCAGAAACAGAAGTGGTTTCCGGGAAGAAAGGCTTGGGGACAGAGCAGCTTGGCCGAGGGCAGGTGGACAGCCCTGATGGCTGACCATCATGTAGGCTTTGTGCAGAGGGGTCTGGTTTGTAGGGAGCCGTTGTGTGGTCATCATTCTGTGCAGGAAGTCCAGAAATGCAGGAGCCATGAAACATGGGGTCAGCAGCCAGACTCGGGGCTGGGCTTCTGGCTGCTCTGTAGGCGGCTGCCAGGCTGAGGGCCGTGCCCACCACGTCTGCTGTTGTGGCCTGGGATGGGCCAACCTCCAGCAGCCTTGCCCCTGGGCTGACAGCACTGTGCCCAGGATGGAAGTGGGAGCCCAGGCCAGTGCTTGCCAGGCCCTGCTTCTCTACTAAGAGGTTGTCACCCTGGTTCATTTGAATGATAGCATTGCTCATAATGGGAGAAGAAACAGATCTTCTATCTGCTGGTTCACTTCTCAGCTGGTCACAGTGGCCGGAGTTGGGCTGATCTGAAGTCAGGAGCGTCTTCCAGGTCTCCCATGTGGGTGCAGGAGCCCAGCACTTGAGCCATCCTCCACTGCTTTCACAGGCCCATCAGCAGGGAGCAGGGAGCCGACAGGAATTGAACCAGTACCCGTATGGGATGCCAGTGCTGTGGGTGGACTTGCAGAATCCCTGATTGTGACACTCTGTCGTATGCTCTCTTGGGTTTGTAGTGCTTGTATGTCTAGCCTTGTCATTTCCGTAAGACCTGGAGAGTTTATCAGTGTCCTGAGAACATCCGGTCTCCAGAGATCGCAGTAATGCTGACCTGAGCCTGTGTGGAGCTGTCCACGGTTCTCCCGTGTTTTGGGTTTTGTGTAGTTTCCTTTTTTCTTCATTTCACATGATGTTTTCTGTTTTACTTGGTTTTGATGCTGTGTTTGTAAGCTCCCTCCTACAGGAGGGCTTCACATTTTCTGTGAGTTGTATTTGGATCTTTTGAAGCGCTTCCATGTCTGTCTGTGGCTGGTGTCTGTGCTGTTTGCCACTTCTTTCCTTGGGGTCCTTCCCAGCTGGTTGACTGTCGAGTGCCGTTCTGAGTTTCTATGGCCGCCAGCTCGGGGTGTGTGCAACAGTGGCAGCCTGTGATGAGTGCCCGCTGCCCTGCGTCCCATAAGCGTCCTGGAGCTTGCTGAGGGCCAGCAGGTGCCCAGGAAGCTGCTGGGACTTTGCAGGCTCTGCTAGTGGGCAGGACTCAGGGCTCAGCTGGGGACATTGGCTGCTCAGGGCCTGTTGCTGCCTCTTCCCGTCCTGTCTCGGGGAGCTGCAGGTCTATGGCTTCTGCTGCTTGCTGGAGCTCTGCTCACGGGAATCCATGCTGTGCAGGATTCAGGGCACGGGAGATCCTGAAATGTCTGTGCCCAACTCTGCCCTCTTGCACCCCGACTTGGGAACTCTGCCTGCTGGAGCCCTGAGAACACTGCTGATGTCTTGCTGCTTCTTGCCTTCCCTTGCACAGCTGGCACATGGTCACAGCCCCAGCGAGCCGCTGGAGGGCTCGTCTCCGAGACGTCCTTGTGCCCTGCAGCCTGCTGGCTGGGCTCAGCACTGGTGTTCCTGCACTCTGTCCCTTTCTGACGGAGCCTGCCGAGTCGTTTTGGTTCCTGGTGCTCTGTGCCAGCTGGGCCTGGAGTCACCAGTTGTCTTGCACGGGTGTGAAACTCCCAGACATGGACCATTGTGGAAGGAAGCTTGGTGTTGTGTAGCCACCACTCCTCTCAAGTTCTGAAATTCTCAGTCACTCCCATTCTTACCTCCTGACATTAAGCAGCTGTTCCTGTCTCCCTTTGCCCTGCTCATGGAACTACCGACTGCCTTCTCTGTGGGGATTGCATATGCTAGGCATTGCATTTACAAGTGTCACTTGGGGACCAGTGTGATGGCTCAGCTGGCTAGTCCTCAGCTTGCAAGCACTGGCATCCCATGTGGGCACCGGTTCGTATTCTGGTGGCCCCACTTCCTATCCAGCTCCCTGCTTGTGGCCTGCAAAAGCAGTCCAGGACAGCCCAAAGCCTTGGGACCCTGCACCTGCATGGGGGACCCAGAGGAGGCTCCTGGATCACTTTAGCTCTAGCCGTTGTGTGGCCATTTGGAGAGAGAACCAACAGATGAAGATCTTTCTGTCTCTCCCTCTCTACAGATCTCCCTTTCCGAAAAAGGTATATAAACATTTTGTAAATTTCACTTAGCATAGTGTGTCCAGTGTTCATGAATATCATCTTAAGCTAGCTGTTTTATCTTATTTTAGAGGCAGAGTGATTTGTTTCCTGCATGCTCCCACAGGAGTCGGGCACCCTGCCACTGAGCCTGCTAAGTGTGCACTGGCAGGAAGCAGGATCGGAAGTAGAGGCTGTTCTTTGGCCTGGGGTCTCTGCTGTATTGGCCACCCTGTCCCATAGCATCAGTGCTCCGCCAGACTCCACCTCATCGTCTGTGCAGGCTGGCTCATCTCCGGCTGCTGGATTTGCCACATTTTGCTTGTCTGTTCACTGTTGATGGACATTTTGGTGATTTCCATCTTTTGCCTTTGTGAGTGATTCTGCAGTGAACCTCGGTGTGCGAGTATTGGTTGGAACACCTGTTTGCTGTTCCCTGGAGATTACCCTGTATTTAACTTACTGAGAAACTTACAAACTGGTTTCCGTAGTGACTGAACGTTTTTATGTTTCTGCCAGGGGTGAGAGTTAACAGTTTTTTCCACCCCTTAGCAATATTCATTCCCTGTCTTCATTTTCTTCCTGGGAAAACTATCCTAATGGGGATATGGTGCCTCCTGGATTTGGTCAGCCTCTCTCTCAAGATGTATTTAATAGTTACCCCTGAACGGGCGGTAGCCGCTACAGAGCCCTTCCGTGCCTGGGTCCCCTCTGCCTGGGCCCAGGGTTGGCTCCCTCAAGAGCAGAGGCCGATGCGCTTGGGCCGTCCTCCGCTGCTTTTTCTCAAGCCATTAACAGGGAGCAGGATTGAAAGTGGAGCCCCTGGAGCTCGAACTGGCGCCTGTAGGGGACGTTGCTGTCGCAGGAGGCTTCCCCGTTACTCAGGGTTGCCAGCCGATGAGCGATTCTGTAATGGCTAAGGTGCTGTTCGTGACTGTGTGTGCCTCTTTGGAGTATCGTCATGTGCTCTGCCTGGCTTTATTTAAAGATGTGTTTCTTTATTTGAAAGGCAGACTTACACAGAGGAGACCTTTGATGTCCTATTCTAATGGCGCAGCAGCCAGGCTGGCCCGGCCCAAGTCTCCAGCTGGGTCTCCCACTTGAGTCGCAAGGCCCGGGATTCTGGCCATCTTCAGCTGCCGCTGCCTTCCAGGTGTTCCATGTTTGGAAGTGGGCAGCTGGGAGTTGAGTCAGTGCCTGTGGGTGGTGGTTTAGTGTGCTGAGCCTCGGCGCTGGCCTCTTCCCACTGTTTGAGCTGGCGGCTTGTCCTCTTGGTACCGAGTGATGCCAGCTCTGATGAGTGTTCACCAGGATCCACTAAACCGTCTTGATATTTTAACATTGAATTGACCAGTGAGTTTTTTTTTTTTTAAGATTTGTTTATTTTTTTGCTGGAAAGATTTACAGGGAGAGAGGGACAGAGAGAGAGATATCTTCCATCTCTTGGTTCACTTCCCAAGCGAGCCCAAGGCCAGAGCTGCACCGATCTGAGGCCAGGAGCCTCTCCCGGGTCCCCCATGTGGGTGCAGGTCCTAGGCCTTGGGCCGTCTTCGACTGCTTTCCCGGCCGCAGGCAGGGAGCTGCAAGGGAAGTGGAGCAGCTGGGATATGAACTGGTGCCCATGCAAGCCAAGGATTAAGCCCCCAAGCTACTGTGCTGGGCCCTGAATTGACTTTTTATAAAAGATTTATTATTATTATTAGTGTTTTATTTGAAAGTTGCAGAGAGAGAAGGAAGGACAGAGGGAAAGCAAGAGCGTATCTGCCCTCTGGTTCACTCCAGATGGCCAGTCTGAAGCCAGAAAATCCTGAGTTTTCCATGTGGGTGCAGGGGCTCAAGGACTTGGGCCATCCTCCATTGCTTTTCCAGGCACGTTAACAGAGCTGGGTTAGAAGTGGAGCACCTGGGACTCAAGCCACCTGCTCTTGTATGGAATCTCCGTGGGCAGTGTTGGAATGCTGGCACCACAGGCAGAGACTTAACCTACTTAACACCATGGTGTCAGCTTCTGAATGGAGTTTTAAGTTAATTTTATTGTCTCTTCACTTATTCTTGAATATTTAGGTTGATTGTGGCTTTTGCTGCCAGTAATAACTGACAAGATAATTTCTGTGGCTCTTTTATCCTTGGCTGGGTCAGGAACTAGGAAGATGGTGGCAGTCTGGTATGCATTCATACTAGGCGCTGTTGGCACTGCCCGTCTGCGGCCTCCCGGGGCAGGCACCTCAGCTCTGCGGCCGGCAAGGCTTCCCTATAGCATGTCTCGCCGAGGCAGCGTGGCTCCTGGCATCGCTGCTGCCTTGCTTTACCAGTTCCCGATAATGGACGTGTCTGTCCCCAGGTCCTTCAGGCGTGAATGTCTGAGACAGGCTCGGGGGCTGTGGGAAGGGGGGACGGGGTCCGACTTTGCTGCCAGCTAATGCTGCCCCTCTCTCTCAGGCACCACCACGAATCTAAGCGGAGGAGATCTGATGACTTCAGGCCTCAGAGTTACCACCAGCAGGATTTTCGACGGATGTCCGACCACCGCCCTCCTATGGGCTACCATGGCCAGGGGCCCTCCGAGCACTACCGCTCCTTCCACACAGACAAGTTGGGGGACTACAAGCAGCCCCTGCCCCCCCTGCACCCCGCGGCTTCGGCCCCTCGCTCACCTCCTTCCCAGAAGTCACCTCACGACTCCAAGTCCCCCCTGGGTCACCGGTCTCCTTTGGAGAGGTCACTAGAACAGAAAAACAACCCAGATTATAATTGGAATGTTCGGAAGACATAAAGGACGGCCGGAAGAGGCGAGCAGGAGTCGTCAGGTGCGAGGAGGTTTTGGTGTGATCCCCAGCAGCCAGCTTGTGGCCATGCGAGTGCAGGCTCGCTGCCGCCTTTGCGGCCGGAGGAGCAGTTCGTGGAGCGGGAGGCTGCTCTCGGGCCTGCTCTGGTCTGCGCCCCCACTCCCACAGCCCAGCCTGCTGCCTTGAGGGGTCTGGGAGGAGGTGACTGTGTGTGCCAGCACAGTTGAACTGTGCTCCCTGGACGGAGCTGGAGCCCGGGCTCACGGAGGCTTCTGGCCAGGCCTTGCTCGCCTGGCGGACAGCGTGAGCTTAGGGTCACTGTGACATGACAGGTGCTGCTCTCGGGGAGGCGGAGGTGACAGGGTCTCACCTGCAGGAAGTGAATGTGAGACCCGTGGTGGAGCCCGAGTGGGCACACGCCTCGCCCCACGGCCTCTCCCTGCCAACACTAATCCCCTGCTGCTCTTGCGAGTTTCCAGGCTTCGTGCTCCCGAGGGCTGTTCTGCCCTGTGCCAGGCACAGAGGCCTTCCAGCTGACTTCAGGGCAGTGTGAGAGGCCACGCCGGTGGCAGCCCTGGGTGTGGGCTGGGGGGCTGGGGGCGCCTGTGGCCAGGAAACTGCACGCCGGTGCCTCTGGTGACAGGGCAAGCGGAGGCAGGCCTGCTGCCCAGCACAGCACTGGTGGGGCCAGCCAGTTGGGGAAGCGGTCAGTATTGTCGGTCAGCGTTCGCAGCCATGTTGTGGTAGCCTTCACACACTTGAAGTAGACCACTTAGCACCCCATGGTCCCGCCGGTCCTGCGTGGCCAGGAGAAGGTCACCGTGGTGAGCAAGCTTGCACTGCTAGTGGGAGAGTAGAGGGGAACTCAGTTATTTAGAGCAAGACCAAGCCAAGCACGAAGCAAGTGGGAGATCTGTTAGCAGGGCCATGGGACTGAGTGGTGGGCAGCAAGAGCCGCCCTGGAGCGGAGCTGGGGACGGGGACAGAGCGATGGTGTCGCCTGTGCTAGGGCCCTGCTTGACTTGTGTCCAGTATAGCTTGCCAGTGTTGTAGTGTCCCGAGGCATCTTGAGTGCAGAGGGAAGAGCTGACCCCAGCGTCCGTCCGGCAGGCCTGAGGGTGCCCGGCTCGGCTGTGGAAGAGCCTCGCGGGGTACGCAGTCACGCCCCTAAGCCGCCTGGGGAACTCAGAGCCCCAGGCAGCACCCTGACTGCCTTTACCAAGGAATGCCAAGTTGCCCCTGAGGGCAGCGCCCTGGTTGCTGTGTGCCCTGCCCCCTCCTGCAGCTGCACTGCTGGACCTGGCCCCCAGCCTGGGGCCCCAGGAGCATGCCGTGGCGTGGGCGGGAGGCTTCTGCTGGCGACAGAAGCCAGTTGACAGTCTGCAGTTGACTGTCCTGGGTTTGTCTTTCCTGAGGTTGGCCAGGCTGGCCTTGGCGTGACGGGAGCTGGGAAGAGAAGGGGTCAGGAGAGAGAGGGTGCTGGCAGGAGAGAGAGGTGCCCGCAGAGGTCTCGTGAGGAAGTATTTGTGTTAGGCAGAGGGCAGTGTCGGCCAGGTCAGTGTTGTTGCCACGTGACGGTATCGCACGCGTGTGCGCTCAGGGCCTCTCGGAGTCAAGGCCTTGCAGTGTGAATGCCGCCTGTGCCCGCCCTGCTGGCCCTCCGCTTGCTGTCCCGTGCTCATTCCTTCAGCCCTCTCCAGGGGAGACCCTAGCACTTCTCCGTGCACCGCGGGCCCCAGGTCTGTGCGTAGCGGCAGGCCTGGCGGTGTGAATGCAAGCCGCACGGTAACACTGCAGCCCTACAGACCAAAACCCACTGTGGGCCGGAGTGGGCCCGTCCAGGGTGGCTGAGCTGGGCAAGAGCTGTGCCAAGGGTCCAGGCTGCTTTATTTCACCTGTGCCCATCTGTGTGGGTATGGGTGGTTTTCTTTATTGTAAAATTGTGGACTTTTAAATCTGTTGACTAAACAGTAATTAATTTATATTTGTGAAAAATGCCACTGTCCTGGTGATTTCTGATGTAAATAATGTTGTTTATATAGTATGTATTAAATTTTCCTACATTGTAAAATTGCTCTACTTTTGATTCCTATATATTAAAAAGTGTTGCTAAGGATTTTTTTTTAAAACTGAGCTAACATGTTACATTGCGTTTTGGTGTGAGCGGTGTGGCTGGAGTGCCCTGCCGAGTGCTGGGCCACATCTTACAGCCTGGGAAGTTGGGTGTGATGGGTCCCTGGCTGCAGCCCACCGCACCCTGAATAAGCAGCTGGGGTGGCTGCAGTGAGTGCACTGCCCGGCGGGCACCCTGGGGCACTGGGGGTCTGTTTCCTGGCGAGGAAGGCACGGTACAGTGGCACCATGGACACCAGGAGTGGGACACGGAGCAGGGCGTGGGGTGCAAGGCTGCCCTGAGCAGACATGGAAGCCAAACCCGGATCTTGGTGACTTGTGGCCTTGCCCAGTGAGCGTCGGGGGCCAGGCTGGGGACTCTGGGAGGCCCGGAGCTCTCCAGCAGTGCTGAGCTGGGACAGCCTGGGAAGCCAAGAGCAAGTGTGGCAGGATCCACCTGCTGGGGCTGAGGGCTGCCGGGGCCGCTGCCAGGGGCCCACCTTTTCCTGGAAGCAGTGGGCGCTGCACCCCGCCTCCTGCCTTGGCCTTGGCGGGGCTGTGTCAGTCCATGCCAGCTGGAAGGTCAGCTGGCCAGGCAAAACCCTGGGAGGCATGACCTTTTTTTGTTTTGTTTTGTTTTTGGAAGGTTGAGTGACACAGAGGGAGGACTGGGCCAGACTCCTGGGACCCATGCGGGACTTGGGGCATCCCCTGCTTTTCCAGGTACATCAGCAGGGAGCTGGGTTGGAAATGCAGCAGCTGGGTTTAGAACCAGTGCCCATATGGGCTGCTGGTGTTGTCGGCGGCACCTCTCCTTCCCCCAGCCTCTTCCATCCTGTCTGGGGCAGGCGAGTTCTAGTTCTATTGCCAGGCAGAAGGAGGCTGTGGCAAAGAGCTGTTCTTGGTCTGTCCTGTGTCTGTGTGGTAAGTGTGCGCAGGCTGTTTGCTCCAAGACACGCAGTTGGCACTGGTGGGTCCCCATGGTGCCTTTTTCTTTCTTTATTTTTTTGTTCTGGTTTCATTTACTTGAAATGCAGAGTGTCACAGCCCTGGATGATGTGAGGGGCTGAGGGTCCTGGCGTTGCAGGTGGCAGAGGCAGCCCTGCTGGCTAAGGAGGGTTTTGAGGGAGAGTGTATGTGGTTCTCAGAAAGGCCTTGGCTATGGAGAGTGGGGGCTGAGGGCAGCTGGCAGGAGCTGGGATGGAGCCCAACCAGGGCTGGGGAGGGAGAGGGGAGGACGCGCCTGTAGGACCGTTTGCCTTGACGGCCCCTGCCACTAGGAACTGCAGGAATCTGCCCTTGGGAGCTCGGGTTTTGGATGGGGCAGGAGGAAAGAATGTCATGGGACCCCAAGGGAGTGAGCCAGGGGGAGAGGGCTGGGTGGGGATCTGGGTGGGGCGAGGAGCTGGTGCCAGCAGCAGGCCCCAGGGGAGCATGCCTGGGGCCTGCTGGTCTCTGGGCACAAAATGCCCCCTTTATGGGCTGTGCCAGGGGTGAGCAAGGCCCTAGAGGGTGAATGGTGTGCTTGTCACTATTATCATGGGCTATTGCATGCTCTCTGTGGAGGCTGCTCTTCCCGCCCTGGGATGGGGCCCCCTTGTTCTCCCAAGGGTGGCTGAGACCCCTGAATTTCCAAAACTGTCCGGCAGAGGGCAGCAGATATCCACAAATGGCCAGTAAGGCCCGGTGGGCAAGGCCTAAACCCTCAGCGGTCAGTGCCTTGCCCCTGGTTTGTGGGCAGTATCTGGAGCCCACCGGGACAGCGGTTGTGGGCCTCGGGGCCGGAGGCAGAGGGCGACTACTGACTGCTGGCATCCCAGCCCTCTGATGTGCAGCTGGCTGTTCCCAGAGCGGGGAGCTGCAGGTGGTACAGGGGGATAACAAGGACCCAGGAGAAGCCCTGGAGCTGGGCTGAGCACTCCTGGCTCCAAGGAGGGGAGCAGCCCTTGCTGTGGGCACTTGTCCCTCAACAGCTGGCTTCCATGTCTCCCAGGGCCAGCACGATGGGGCGGGCCTGGCCATCCACACTGATCACTGTGTGGGTGTCCCCAGCACCAGGCACGGTGTTGAGTGAGCGCCCCCCCCCCACATTCGGACCAGTGAGGCTGCTGGCTGCAGTCCTTGACCCAAGGGCCACCCAGCGCCCAGCCCTCAAGTCCCTTGAAGCATCCACCTGCACTCCAGAAGTCGACATGGCCGTGCCTGATACTTGGCGGGAGCGAACACGGCCACTCTGACCCTTTGGGCTCTCTTGCAGCTGGGGAGATTGGGGATTGCCCGGTGGCTGTGTCCTCCCTGGGCCTCCCCACTCCTCCCCACAGCCTGGCCCACCCCTCCTCAAGCTCTGGGCAGCAGGAGGTTGTCCCAGCAGCCCTGGGCCTAGCCCTGGAGCCCCCAACCCAGCCCACTCTGCCTCTGTGTTCAACCTAGAGCTGAGAGGGAGGGTGGGTCTTGGGGCCCCAGCCAGGGCTGCAGCTCCCCCACATCCACTCTTTGGGATCCCTCCTCAGGAGGGGAACCCAGGGCGAGCTCAGCCAGCTCCTGTCACGAGGCATGGACTGTGTGCAGGGCAGGTGTAGAAGCCATGGCTCTCCAAGGATCCCTCTGCCCCCTCCATGTCCTGGTTGGTGTTGGCAAAAGTCCTGCCCGTGGCCCCAGGCTGCCCTCCTGGCCCGTGTGCCATGACCAAGGCTGGCGCATGGTGCACACAGCCCAGTTAGCTGCCTCCTCGGCGGGGTGTCCTGAGCCTGCTGCCTGCCCACAGCCAGCAACGTGGGAGAAGCCCCAGTGTGGAAAAGCTGGGAGTGGAGGGGTGTGGAACGAGTATGGGGTTCTGCTCCACAACTGGGGCTGTGGTTTTCCCGGGAACAAGGGCTTCCGTGGGGTTAATCTAGGCTCCCAAAGAGTGGATGGGGCTGGCTGGCCCTGACCAGAGCACCCCAATTCTTTTGTCTCGAGTCACACACTATGGTGTAGTAACACTGCCACCTGTGTCGCTGGCATCCCATGTGGCACTGATTCGAGTCCCGGCTGCTCCACTTAGGAGCGCGCCCTAGGGCTGTGTGGATGCCCCGCCAGGCCACCTCTCCCTGCCCCCAGCGTGCTTCCCGACCCTCCTGTTAGCCCTGCGAGCTGATGGAAGTAAAAGCCATGCTTATTTTGATGTGAAATATTTTGAAATGCATGCAAGGGAGGGGAAAGTGCATGATGAAGAAGCAGCCTGGATTCCAACATTTCTTTCTTGCATCAAGATAACTCAGAATTCCACTTCCCCAACAGCTTTTCCAAGCGCCCTGACCGTGGCTGGGCTGTGAAACTGCTGGGCGAGGCAGTGTGGGTTCCCGACAGCCACCCACTGCCTTGGACTAGGGGACAGACTGAGCTTGGCGGCCACGGCTTCCTGGCCGGGCTTTGCTGGGGGCCAGGGCAAGCGCATTCCTGGCAGTTCCTGTGCTCAGGCTGGGGGCCCTTGGCTCCCACACCTGGTGTGGCTGTGATAGCCACTGCCTGGGACCACACAGCTCCTGGTGCCACGTTCATGCCAGCTGGGTCCCTGACCTCTCCCTGCCCCCAAGGCACATAAGCACCCTCTCCTGTGTGCCCTCCATGACTCCTGTGGGGCACCAGTTCTCCCACCTGGAGGTCGATGCCGTCAGGCCTTGGTCCTGGGACCAGTGAAGGCAAACGTGCTTTGGTCTCGTCCATCTTGCTGCCCTCCTCCTTCCCCTGGCCCCCAGACCTGTGCTGGGAGTCTGTAAGAACAGAACTCCAGGTTCAATTGGCTATTCATCTGCTTGCAAGTGCCAGGATCCCATACGGGTGCCAGTTCTAATCCTGGCAGCTCTATTTCCCATCCAGCTCCCTGCTTGTGGCCTGGGAAAGCAGTTGAGGACGGCCCAAAGCCTTGGGACCCTGCACCCACGTAGGAGACCCGGAAGAGGTTCCTGATTCCCAGCTTCGGATCGGCGCAAGCGCAGGCCGTTGCACTCACTTGGGGAGTGAATCATCGGATGGAAGATCTTCCTCTCTGTCTCTCCTCCTCTCTGTATATCTGACTTTGTAATAAAAATAAATCTTTTTTTAAAAAAAATAAGTAAATCTTCAAAAAAAAAAATAGGGCTTTAGAAAGCTGCCCCACTTCCAGCCTCCTAGCTCAGCCGGGGCTAGATGCACACACCCACTCCCAAGCATCAGGGTCTGCAGGGCCCCTCCGCTCTCCACTGCCACCTAATGCCCATGGGCCCCATCTAAGCGGCTGGCCCAAAGTCACGTGGCTGGCAGGGTGGCTGGGCAGCCTCTCTCCCACCTCCTGTCCCCTGGTGCCGAGAGCCAGAGGCGAGGTGGACACGTCAGCCCTCGTGAGTCAGCACGGTGGCGGGTGGCTGCAGTGCCTTGGTGTATGCCACGGCCCGTGCCACAGCCGGGTGAGCAGGGGAACTGGCAAGCCCACTCCCTGCAGGCTCCTGGCAGCAGTCAGGATGCAGTAACCTGGCCTCAGGCCTCCAGCTGTGGCTGTGGGGCTCAGCAGAACCCAGGCTGCATGGGGGACTGCCACTGTTAGGTGACTGTAACCTTCACGCATGCGAGCTCACACGCACGTGTCACCACACTCCTGCCCGCAGCACCCCCAGACCCTTCCTCGTGGGGCCAGCCCCCCACGCTGTCCAGAAAACAGAGTCCAACATGCGTCTAGGTAACAAAACACACAACCAACTTTACTCGCCTGCAGCCGCCAATAAATAATTTACAGAATGTACACGCAGCCACGCCCCAGGCCGCTGAGCAGAACGTGAGCAGACGCCACCCAAATAAAGTGCTTCACTTTTTACTTCCAACGCAGGGTGGGGAGGGGCCGGGGACCTCTGGGGGAGGGGGAGCCAGTGTATGAGAAGTCCCCAGGCAGCACTGCGCGTGCTCACGGGCGGGCAGGGGGCGTCTGCGTGGCTTCCAGGTCTGGGCTCAGGGCAGAGGACACTGGGGGCCGTGGGTCTCCCAAGATCCTGCCCCCCACTCCCACATTCCAGATGTGGGTGGGGGAAGGGCAGGGGAGGGGCAGCAGAGGTCAGGGCAGACCAGCTGGCCCTGTCCCCCAGTGCCCTTGCCCCGCCAGAGGGGAAGGACAGAGTGGGGGGGGGTCTGTTCTCAGGGAGACACTTAGAACTAAGCCAGGCGGGAAGGGCAGGCCCACGGCCAGAGGGCATCAGAGTCCACATGGGCCCTCTGGTCAGGTGCCCGAGTCCACGCCACAGTGGCCTGCAGGCCAAATGGTGACAGTACCCTGGTGAGACAGGGCGGCCCCAGGCGGTGTCCCACAGTGCAAGGTGCCCCAGGCTGGGTGTATGTGTGTGCGTGTGTGCGTGCCAGGCCTGTCTCAGTGCAATGCCAGGGCTGGGAGGAGCTGCCGCTGGTGCCAGAGGCTCGGACGGGCTGCTCCGCCTGGCTCGCGGCTCTGCCATCAGCACATCCTTGTCCCGGCACCACGCCGGAGGGCCACCCCACTCTGCCCTGCCCCAGCGGCTGGTCCCGGGCGTCTCTGGGTCAGCTGCCTAACAGGCAGGCAGCAATGGGAGCAGCAGGGCCAGGGCGGCCAGGGGCAGCCAGGGCCCCCGGGGCAGCCGTGGGGCGGCCCCGCCGGGCAGCTCCCGAGTCCTTCCGAACAGGTGCAGCCTGTCCTTGTCGGAGTGCAGTGACTTAACGTCCTCCAGGGCGTAGTAGGCGGCCAGCGTGAAGTTCACGTCGCCCGTGGTCAGCAGGTCGAACACGCAGGCCTGGTAGTACAGGTCCTCCACGGGCAGCTTCTCCTTGCACTTGGCGGCCGCCGTCTCGTACGGGAAGGCCGCGGGGGCCGCGGGGCCGGCGGCCTGGAAGTCGATCTGCTGGCTGAGGGGGCAGCCACGCAGGCAGAGGTAGAGGCCTTGGGCGTCTCGGTCTTCCACGGCGTGTACCACCTCCTCGGGCATGCGGGCTGCGAAGGTGAGATAGCGGCCCACCTGGCGCACCACGATGGTGGTGCCGATATACCTGGCCTGGATCTCCACGTGCTGGCCCGACACCTTCTCGGTGATCTTGAGGCTGTTGGCGCCGTGCCTGTCACCGCCGTTCCGGGAGCCGTCGGCGAAGGCAGCCGGCAGCTCGTCCATCTCGGCCTGGTACACCTTCTGGTCCACGCACTCCTGGAAGCTCTTGAAGATGATGGTGAGCTGCGGGGGGAGCCGAGGCAGGGGGTCAGACGTGGCGGGAAGGGAGGCCCCGCGCCCCACCCCAGGAGGACAGTGTGTGCTCTCGGTAACTCCCCAGAGCAGCAAAGCAGCTCAGCCCTGTATGGCACGAGGGCATCGGGGGCATCGGGGTCCCCCCAGTCCCCTGCAGGAAGGAGGAGGGAGGGGCTCCGGCTGTCATCCTCTCTTCCTCCCCACAAAATCCACTGTCACCGTGGAAGGACCTAGAGCTGGGCCCTCAGCACCCTGACCGTGACGCCCGTCTGTGTGGGATCTGGCAGGGACTAGAGGCCGAGGTGGTGGAGGCTGAGTCTGTGCAGCACCACCCAGAGGGCACCTTCTCCTTCCCTGGCATCCTGCTTACCATGGGCATCAGGGGTGGCATGCATCCTGTTGACCCGAGAGGCCCCACACCCTGGGCCTTGCCAGGGTGCCCTGCTGTGCTGCTCCGTCACACAAATGGTGGCTTCATGTGCTTCCGCCAAGCCTCCTCTGTCCACCCTGTGCTAGGCCACGCCCCGCGGGTTAGGGGCACTGCCCGCTCTCGCCAGTGTCGCTGTCTGCCTCCTGGTGGGCACCGAGGCTGCCAGGGATCAACCAGGGTGCGGAGGAGAACAGAGCAGCCCGGGCAGGCACGGTGTGTGGGTGGGGGAGGGGAGCACCGCCACGGGGACAGGGTCAGGCCCCAGAGGGCCAGGAGGGGCCGACAGGCTCTGGGATACCTGGGGTGGGGCTGACGGTTTCCAGTGAGCAGAGTCTCCTGGGGTGCCGCCTGCCACCCTGCTGTGCCCGTCAGCTCTGCATCTTTTTGTCAACCAGCCTGGGAGCGCCTCAAGGCCCAGCAAGTGGCCCGGGGGCTGGACACCACCACCGAGCTTTGTTGTGTGCGTGGCCATGGCCCACACAGCGCAGCAGGGCCTGTCCACACAGGACAGGTGGGCTGTCCCCCCCCGGCCGACAGTCCAGCAGGGAAGGTGAGTCCCTGGGTTTGCAGGCAGTGCTGTTACCCAAACGTGTTCCCCACCTCTCTGTCTAGGCGGTGACACCGAGCCCAGACTCCATTTGCTACCCCTCCCAGGACCGGCAGGGACAGCTGCGTAGGAGCCCTTCCCGGGGACATCCGTCACTGGCCGTCACAGTGGCCTCAGGCTCTGGGTGGGGCGGACGGATCCACTGCCCACTGGGCACTCGGCCTGGAGCGGACCAGGGCCATGGGAGGGCCCTGAAAAATGCCCTTGGGGACAGTCAGGAAGTGGCCGGGACCGGGTGTGGCAGGCAGCAGGGACAGAAACACTCTTGTGAGCCACCTGGTACAGCCGAGCATGTGGCTTTCCAACAGTTCCTCCAGGGCAAACAGTCGGCCCGCCTGGGAGCCGCTGCACGGCTGGGCGGGCCACGAGAAGGGCCCCCGGCTCCCGTGGCCAGGACCCCTGTGGCTGGGCCTGAATCCGAGGTCATGGGTCAGGGTGGGGGTGCTGCAGTGTGGGGAGAGCCCAGCTGGGTGGCAGGAGAGACCCCTGACCTGGCCCAGGGCTGTGTCCACGCCCGCCGCCTATGGCCGGGGCTCCCGGGGGCAGGCCAGTGGCGCCTTGGGTCAGATGCTGAGCAGGGACACGGCTCGGCGAACTCCAGGGCCAGGCTCTGACCCCAACCGGACGCAGGCCCCATGCCCCTCAGCGCCTCTGCTCAGCTCGCCAGGCTCCCTCTGCTCTCCGAGCCCAGCAGGCGGGCAGAGGACTTCTGGGCTCTCGGGGTTACAACCCGTGTGAGAAGCGCCCTGCACGCCACAGCCCGGGGCTGTGCACACACACGCGTGTGGAGCAAGCACAGAGGCTGCCTCTCCTGGCCACGCCGCCTCAGGCTGGCCTGTCCCCACTCCCAAAGGCTCGCCCGGCAGTCCAGCTCACCGGCCGGACCCCTGCCCCACACCCGTCCTTACCTTGCTGGTGGCGGTGGCCACAGAGCCGGGCAGCACAGGGGTGTTGGTGACCTGCACGTTCAGGTAACTGTTGTCGATGAGTGGCCAGGCGCCCTGCACCTTGCATGTCTGGAAGCGGTCTGTGAACGTCCTGAGGTGCGGGTCCCCAAAGAGGCCGCAGTGCGTGTAGTTGGGGGCGGCCGAGTGCTTGTGGAAGCTCTTCTCGTAGTGGCAGGTCTCGGGGCTGTCCGAGCGCTCCTGGCTGTCGCTCGCCGCCACGGGCGGCAGCGTGCGCAGGCGTGGCTGGGAGGTGGGGCCATCCTTGGAGCAGTTGTGCTGGCTCATCAGGTCCTCTATGCCATGGACGGCCGAGTGGTAGGCCAGGTCGCCCCGGCAGGTGCGGGCTGTGCGCCGTGTGCACAGGGCGTAGGTGCGCAGGGCGGCACAGAACTCGGGGGCCTCCTCCGTGGCCAGGGCGTGGCTGCCAGACGTGGCGCTCCAGAACTCAGAGTTGCACCTGAGGATCTTGCACGGGGAGGCAACTGTGGAGAGGAAGGGGCACGCTGTCAGACGAGGCCGGCTGCTCCCCCGCACCCCCTGACATGCGGCGCGCGCGCGCACACACACACACACACACACACACACACACACACACACTCAGGTTCCCGCAGGCGGCAGTGCTCTGCACAGCCTGCGGGCAGTGCCCAGCTGCCCACGGGATGTAAGTGTTGGGGCCAGGACAGAGCTCAGCAGGTGCTGGCTTCCCCGCCCAGAGGACGCAGCCTCCCTCAGGAGGGCAGGCCATGACCGGCCACTGGACAGCTGTCACCGAGCGGCAGGACCTGGACGTGCTCCTGACCTGTCGGCTTCAGCCGGAAGCCAGGCCGAGGTGTTTGTCATCCGAGACAGTGAGTGCTAGCGGGAAGCACTGGAGAAGGGCCAGCGTCCATGCACACAGCCTCGTTTAGACGAGACCTGGGGCTGGGCTTATGGCGCAGTGGGCAAGCTAAGCTGCTGCCCATGACACTGGCACCCTGCAGTAGACCACGCTGAAGGCCTGGCTGCAAGGCTGCACTGTCTCCGTCTTAAGATTCAGTTCATTTATTTGAAAGGCAGAATTAGAGTGGAAGAGAGGGAGAGATAAAAGAAAGAAATTCCATCCACTGGTTCAGCTTCCAATGGCCAGCACAGCTGGGGTTGGGCCAAGCTGCAGCTGGGAGTCAGGGGTTCCATCCGGGTCTCCCCCATGGGTGCAGGGCCCAAACATGTGTGCCGTCCTCTGCTGCTTTCCCAGGGGGCATCAGGAGGGAGCAGGACTTGAACCATCACCCATATAGGATGCAAATGCTGGGGCAGAGCAAGTTAGGCTGCCACGTGCTACAACACGGGGCCCTGTTCTGCCTCTGCCACACATGTGGGAGATGCAGACGGAGGTCCTGGCTCCTGGGTCAGGTTTATCTCAGCCATTTGCGGAGTGAACCAGCAGGTGGAAACACCAATCTCTCTCGCTCCCTTTTTTTAAAGATTTATTTTTATTGCAAAGTCAGATATACAGAGAGAAGGAGAGACAGAGAGGAAGATCTTCCGTCTGATGATTCACTCCCCAAGTGACCACAAGGGCCGGTGCTGTGCCGATCTGAAGCCAGCAGCCAGGAGCCAGGAAACTCCTCTGGGTCTCTCACGTGGGTGCAGGGTCCCAAGGCTTTGGGCCGTCCTCAACTGCTTTCCCAGGCCACAAGCAGGGAGCTGGATGGGAAATAGAGCTGCCGGGATTAGAACTGGCACCCGTATGGGATCCAGACGCATTCCAGGCGAGGACTTTAGCCGCTAGGCCATCGTGCCAGGCCCCTCTCTGCTTTTCAGGTGAGAGAAGTCCTTAAAAACATCAAGGAACTTGAACACTTTGAGGACCTGGTTAGGTAACAGGTGGGCTCTGCTACCAAGGCCATTGTTTGGGACACTGGTGAAAGTGGAAGCACTGGTGAGCGCCTCCAGCTCCCACTGTGGGGGTCCCCCCAGGGAACCCCAGGGGGAGGGGAGGGGCAGGAGAGGGAGGGACCCCTCTTCCTGGCAGGGGCCCACACAGGTCCTAGAGTTGTGGAGGTTACTGGGGGACAGGATGCATGCCTAGTGCTGACCAGCGGCCCTGACAGGCTCCCTGACCTGGACCATGCGTGGCCAGGCTGCACCATGGCACAGCCTCCGCCTCCCCCCAGGAACCCCTACCTGCAGGGTGCCCGGGGTGTGGCCAGCAACAATCCCCTGCCACCCACAAGCTGTGCCCCTCCTGATGCTGGTTTGTGGCCCTTTCCCTAAGGGGGAAGCAGATAATGGCCCCCCTCCAGCCAGCCCCACAGTGACCTGTCCCCCACCAGTGTGCTGGGACTACCCCAAACTCACAATGTGGGGGTTTCTGAACAATGTGGAGGTGTGCCTTCAGGACACAGGATGTTGCAGGAAGGCGTGCCTCCCCCATCTTCCACACCCTCCCAGGGCCAGGAGAGCTGGGAGGAGCCTTCTCAATGCCATGTGGTGAGGGGATGCAGCCAGGAGCTGCACTGGGAGCATGGGAGACCCCCGGAACCCTGGCCACTGGCTCCTGAGCTCAGCTTTCCAGCCTGCAGCCCCTCCCACCTCCTGGGCTCTCCCAAGTTGGCTTCTGGAAGCTTACAGAAGCAGGTTGTTGGTCACCTGCCCCATCTCCCCACCTTCCCATCCCTTGCCAGGGCATGTTCCCTGCCCCCCGCCGGGGCAGGAGCCAATAGGACAGCTCTGCCCTGCCTTTGACCCCTGTGGGGGATCTACCTGGCCTGGCTTCCCAGGGGTCGCCCTGCCTGCTGCCCCCACAAACCCCATGGCCGCTCTGAGACCAGGACCCAGTGGGTCCACTCCCCGCCCTTGTGCGTGTCAGGGCTGGCCAGTCCCTGGGGGTTGCCCGAAACAGGCCTTCGGTCTCCACAGGGGTCAACCAGCTGCCCCCATATCGCTGCGGTGGTAAGAAGCAAATGCTGGTGGTGTGTGGCCACCTGCTGCGGACCCCAGGGCGTGGGCTTTGCCCGCTGCATTGTTCTGGAAAGCACAAAGCATGGGACACCATGCCCAGCAGCAAACTGGACTCCCCAACCAGGGGCCCAAGGACAACCCTGAGCACGGGGTCTGGAGCAGGCCTCCCAGGAGACTCTGCAGGATGGCTGGCACAGACACAGGGCCTTGTGGCCAGCCTGTGCGCCAGCCCTTGCCATGGACACAGCCCTGCAGACCGCCCCTTTATCTGCACGGGGCCCACCGACCGGAAGGCCCTGCGTGGGGCTGCAAGGCATCCCCAGAGGAAGGGCTCAAGCCTTTGGTCCGGCGTGCCAGCTGCCATGTGAGCAGGCACTGTGCCCTCTGTGAGTTTCAGCGCGGGGAGCTGGCGTGTGATGTCTGTCGGGTGTGCCATGTGTACATGTATGATACATGTGGGCGTGTGGTTTATTTGCTGTGTGTTGTGTGCCCTGTGTATGTGTGCTGGGCGTTGCACACGTGTGATATGTGCTCACATAGACACATGTGGCATGTTGGTGACAGTTGCCTGCCCGGGTCTGCGCAGCCTTCCCAACCCCCACCCAGGCCGGCCAGCTGCCGGTCACCTGCCTCTGGTCACGTCCCTCAGCCATCCGTCCTGGCCTTCCCCACTGCCAAGCTTGGCCACCCCAGGAGGCGCTGCCAGCGTCGCCTTGGCCATATCGCCCGGCACGCCCCTTCGGGGGCTCTGATGCCTTCTGCCCGCCCCAGCTTGCCTCTGGAACACTGCGTGGGCCTGGCTGCCCAGCTGTCCGCACCTGCTCTGGTGTGAGCTCCAGTTTGCTGTGCTGAGGGGGTGGGCCCGGCGGAGGGCAAGACCACACCCTCAGGGCCTGTCCAGCCTGGCGACCCCACCTCACCAGGGACAGAGAAGTGGGGGCCGGCCAGGAGCAGGCAGGCTGGCACAAGGGGGCACCGGGCCAGCCTCAGCCACTCAGAGTCCCCCTTTGAACTGCTAATCAGGCCCAATCTCCCCGATAATAGCATGCTGATTAATGCCCTGTTTGCATAACAAAGCGGCCCAGTTAAACCCCCACCTGCAGAGGCCAGCTACGAGCAGGGCGTCTCAGGAATGTGGGAGCCCTCCCGAGCCTGAGCCGGGAATAAAGACAAGAAAAACCCAATAGACCAATAAATTACTCTCCAGTGCACAAGGCCTCCGCAGCACAGGAGGGCTGGGCAGGGCAGGACCGACCTCCTCTTAAAGGGCCAGGCCTCCCTGCCTGCGGTGTGGCTCTCAGAACCGGCCTAAGTGAGGCTTAGGCAGGAGAGCTGGGAGAGCTAGCGGGAGCGACTGCTGGCAGCTCAGGGCCTGCCCAGACTTCTGGGCCAAGAGACTGCTTGGGACTCTGGTCCCCTCTGCCTTTCTGGTCCTCCCAGCCCACCTAACAGCCCCCTGCCCCCAGCCAAATGCCCTGCAGGGGCCCTGATGGCTGTGCCCCTTTACCCAGGGGACGCTGGGACCCAGGGCCCACGCAGAGCACAGGGTCCAGAAACAACGAACTAGAGGCCACAGCCTTACCCGGGATAGGAGGGAGAGCTGCTCAGAGGAGCGCCTGCTGGCACGTGTGCCCCCTCCAGAGGCAGGGAGCTAGCTCAGATATGCCCCAGCATTGTCACTGGGCCCAGGAAGCATAGTCCCTGGGCATGGAGGCTAGGTGGGCCCAGGCAGGGGTTCACTAAGTCCACTCCCTTCAGGGTGTGGGGATTGGAGCTGCTGGGACCCCGTGTCACTACCGCCTGGAACGCGCCCCACCATCCCAGCGTGCACATGCAGGGGCTTGGCACAGCGCACTGAGAGCAACACGCCCCAGAGCAGGCTGGGTGCCCGCCAGGTGCAACAGTGCCTACCAGGCCTGGCCTGCTGCCGCCACAATGACGGAGAGGAGAGGCATTCCACCCAAGCCAGGCCGGGAATGGCAGCAAGGCAGGGAGCCATCCCAGCCCTGGCTGCAGTCCCCCAGGGCTCCGGGGGCTGCAGCGGGGGGCCTGCTGGCAGGCGGTGTGCAGCAGGGAGGGGGCCTGGGCTGGCCCTGCCAGGTGAAGTGAGGGCAGTGTGGGTGGAGGTGGTCTGGGTGGGACAGTGGATTCTTTTCTATCCGCTGCTTTCAGTCCCGGCTGCTGCACTTTCCACCCAGCTCCCTGTCAACGCTCCTAGGGGAGCAGAGGAGGACTGCCCAGTTCTGGGGCCCCTTTCTCTGCACGTGGACCCGCATGGGGCTGCAGCCTGGTCCGGCCGGCTGTAGACATCCGCGGAGGGAACCCGAGAATGGCACATCCCTCCCTGCCTCTCTGGACTCCACCCTTCCTAAAAAAACAAACCAGGATTTCTCACTTCCCTCGAACAGAGCACAGTGTATTCACAGCACCAAGCCCAGCAGCACGCAGCCGCTCAGGGACAGCGCTACCCCCAAACGGGGCACCTGGGCCAAGGGCAGACACCTTGCCCCGTGGCCGGACATCGCAGTTCCCACGGGGAAGTTCTCGAAGTGCTGAGGGAGTGCCCACCTGGGCTGGCCGCTCGGACAGCAGAGGACGCTGCTGAGCGTTGGCCCTCAAGGTGGCACTCACAGATAACGCCGAGCCTCTCAGAGGACAGCTGGGGCGTCACAGTGACAGCTGCCCGGCTAGCCACACGGGCCCCTGTGTGTTCTCAGGTCTGCCTTTTGGAATTTAATGAGCCAGAAAAAGGTGATTTTGGCACCCACTGGGGAACCGAGGGGCTTGCTGTTTGTGGCAGCCAGGCGCCAGTGCCACCAGCAGGGAGGCCCGGACAAAGGGCAGGGGGATATCCCCTCAAGTGGGACAGGGCTGCAGGGTCAGGATGCTGAGACAGGGCCACGGGGGTCGGGGGCACAGGGACATGGGAACAGGCAGGAGGAGCAACAGGAGGGCGGCCACCAGGAGCCCAGGCCAAGGCAGAGGTCCCAGGTCTGAGGGACAGGACCAACTGTGGTGAGAGCTGGAGCTAGACAAAGCAGGGTGCCCTGGCCCTCCCTGAGGAACGGCACCTCCCACCTTAGGAGGGCCTGGCGCCTTAGCCCGGGGCAACAGGGCGGCGGGGGGGGGGGGGGCAGATGGCTGTCACCCCAGCCCCTCTCCAGTGCTCCTGAATTGATGTGAATTATGTCACCACAGGCAGGACGTCCAGGGCACCCACACCCCCAGGCTTCTGCCCCCTCCCCTCTCCGCTGGCCCTGGAGCCCAGCCACCCCCACCTGCTGTCCTGGGTCATTCCCAACTCCTTTGCCCAAGCCCTAAGCTGCAGGGCGGAAACCCATGCCCTGGTGGCTCTGGGAGGAGCAGAATCAGCCCGCATGGCGGGAGCTCCCGGCCAGCCTCAGGCTGCCCACCAGAGTCCAGGCTGACCCTGGTCCTGCCCACAGCCCCCTGGGCAGCCCTGCCCTCCTCTCAGGCCACGGTCTGCCAGAGGGGTCTGAGGGCTGCCACCGAGTCAGGGACTTGCAGCTGGTCACGCACCATGCACACTGCCAGGAAACAGCCTGGAGACACTCCCCCACCGGGCTGCCACCCGCCAGCTTGGGCAGCGGTGTCCCTTCTTGTCCTGAACTCCAGAGACCACCTTTCAAGCCAGAGTCCCCGTGCCCTCGCCACCTGTCCCCCACCCGCCTAGGGCTGGCATTTGGGCTGAAAATTTCATAACCCACCAGTGTTCCTCACACCACTCCCCACAGAAACAAAGACGCCACTCTGCCGGCCCAGGACCCCTGGCACCCAGCAGGGAGGGGTGGTCCCAAGGGTGTCCATCTCCTCCATGGCTACCAAACAGAAGAAGTGGTTTATCAGGCCGGAGGTGCAGCTTGCCCTGCACCAGGCCCAGGTAACAGGTGAGCTGCACCCTGCCCCCGGCCCAGGTGAACGGCGTGGAGCTGCGGCCGGCCGCAATGCCAGCTGCCCTGGGAAGATGCCATGCTCGGCTTTATTGCTAACTCCTAGGAGAGAACTGCGCCAGCCATGCAGGAATGGGGTGGGGGAAGGCCCTGCAGCCCACATCCACCGCCCCCACAGGCTCAGACGGTTCCCACAGACGGTTCTTTTGGGGACACCCACACTGTCTCTCCACCCACCTCCCACAGGGTGCTGTTGCCTGGTGCCCCTTTCGTGGTACCCAGGGCTCAGGCGCCACCAGGCAGGGCTGGGACCCCAGGGTAAACTGAGGCCTCCTCTCCACTGCCCCCCAACCCGCAGGGTGCTGCACCCTGCCTACGTGTCAGGAGCTGGGACTGCTTGGTTGTGCCAACTCCTTGAAACCCGGCTGGCCGGGGAGCAAAGCAAAGCAAGCCAACCCGAGTCCAATTCAAGTCCCTTCTTGCAGAAGGCGCCGCGGCGCGCCGGGGGCTGCAGCTCCACGCCAGGCGGTGGCGGGGAACCAAACATTTTTTTTTCTCCCCTTTCCTTTTACAAAAAGACAACTGCTGAACCCCGCACCCCAATGCAGGGGGCCGGAGGTCACAGGACGCAAGGGGTGCGGGGCATGAGGCCCCGGGACACAGTTTATTTGCGTTAGGAGCTAGAGAAAACGGGCAGAAAAGGGTTTCATCGGAGTTTGCAGGCTGCGCGCAGCATATGGCAAGGACGAAATAAAGTTTTACGGAACTTTATAAAGAAAACAGACCGGGGATTTAAGGCTCGTGCTTCCCCCCTCCCCGCGAAAGGGGAAAAAAGGGAAGAAGCCGAGCGCCAGGCAGGAACAAACGCTCCTCTGTGGAGACGGCGCCCTTCCCCCAACGAAAACAAGAGGTCCGGGCTGGGAGGAATTTGAAAGCAGCGGGCTGCCAAAAGCGCCGCGAACCACCGTGGGGGACTCATTGGAAACAGATGGGCTTTCTCAGCTTCGACTCCGAAAGGCTCTCCCTTTCGGCTGCAGCCACGACCCCCCGGGGACGCGCGCCAGGCTCAGACAAGTGCCCTCCGGCCGGGGGCTGCCCCGCGTGGGCGCGCGCGGGCCCGGGGCAGGGCGGCCCGGCGGGCTGGGGCCCCGCGCCCGGGCGCCCGGGACGGCGCTCCCCGGCTGCCCCTGCAGCCGCCGGCCCGGGGAACACAAAGGCCCGCGGCCGTGGGGGCGCCGGCAGCTTACCTGCGGGGAGGCTGCAGAGCAGGAAGGCGAGGGTCGGCCAGGATCCCAGGGCTGAGCGTCCTGCCCCTCTCCCCATGCCCATCCATCCAGCTCGGCCTCTTTCCACGAACCTCTCCCTGCAGCAAGAGTGAAGAAAGGCGCCCGCTCAGTCGCGCCGCGGAGCACAGGCCGCTCGCTCCGCCGGCGGGAGCAGCCAGCCGGGAGGCCCGGCGCGCCCCCGCCCCCGGCCGCCGCCCGGCGCGCCCCCCGCCCCGCTCCCCCGCATCCATCACCGGGCCCGCCCCCGCGCGCTCGGGTTTCAGTGCGGCCCGGGGCGCGGCGGCGCCGGCGCTGGGGAGCCGGGGAGCACCCCCATCCTCGCTCGCCCCCTCGGCCGCGCCGCCGGCACCCCTGCCCGGCCCCCTCGGGCGATGCGCTTCCGAGGCGGCCGTCCGTGTGGGCCACCCGCCCCGACCCCCCGCGCCGCCCATGCCGACCCCCTGAGCACCGTTGCGTCCCGGGGTCCCCCCCCCCCGGGGCGGGCACGGGTGGCGGGGCCTTCGGCGTGTGACCTCCCGTAACTCGCTCGCTTATTTTCTCGGCGAGAACGCCTCCTCCCAGAGGCTCGCCAGGCCGGCGGCTCCCCTGCCCGGCGATATTTAAGGGACTGGTGGCTTCCCCAGAAGCATCTCCTGGACAAGACGCAAGTGTTTTCAGCCAAGCCACCCCCTTCTTCCCTCCCTCCCAAGCCTGCTCGGCTGGTTCTCTGGGAAAGTTCTGGGGCTTTAGCCAGTGTAGATGCCTCTTTCTAAGCGCCTTGGCCGTCCTCACTCGCCAGGCCACACAGGCAGAGCGCTGCGCCGCCCACCCGGGGGCTACGTACGCTGCCAGCAGCTAGCCCGAGCAATGACCTGGGCAGGTGGAATCACCAAGGCCCCGGGGGTCCTCAGGCTGCGCCCCCACGGCCTAGGGCGCTGTTCCCTTCCCACAGGCATCTCCGCACCTGGTACTGACTCCCCACCTATGCCAGGCTCTGCGGAAAATGCACCGTGCATGGCCAAGGCAGGCCCGGGCCCCTAAGGATGGGGTGGGCAGCCGGTGGCCCTACCCCCCTCTGAGGCCTGGACTGGACCTACTGCTGCAAGGGGGTGAGGATATGGCACGGGTTCCACCCAGCCCCTAGACCCAAAAGCAGGCCCCAAGGGGTCAGCGGGCCTTCGGGCTCCGTTAGGGATAGGAAGCTGCAACTGCAGCCTCCAGGTCGCCCTTGGAGACAGCGGCAAGGCCCAGTGTCCTGGCGCATGCAGGGGCCTGCTGGGAGACCCCGGCGTGAGGGACGCTGCGGACCCAGGCACCTGCGTGAGGCACAGTTCTGGGTGTCCCCACAGCAGGGCCTTGCTTGCGGTCTAGACTGCAGAGCAGGAGTGGGCTGAGCTGACCTTGAGGCATCTGTCTATACTGGTGCCTGAAGGAGTCACCTCCAGCCTTGCCATCCAGTCAGCAGCATGGGGTGGCACTCTTTTCCCTGGGGGCTCCCCAAAGGCAGGTGGCACTGGACACGGACCCCAACACAGAACTCCCCCAGTGCAAGCTGCAGACAGGACGGTGGCCAGGAAGGGACCTGGGAGACCCTGCCAACCAGGGGCCGTGTTTCCAGGTGAGTCACAGGAGCTGAGGGATGCCCCACTGGGAGCCGAGATGCCAGGCTGTTGGCATCCTGCTGTGCGAATGGGGGAACTGAGTCTCACTGTCTCCTCTCCTTCGTGGGCCAATGTGTACAGCGTGGGAGACCCCAGACCCACCTGGGGTGCACGTCGGCCCACGCAAAGCAGATCCCCACGGTCACCTTCAGCAGCAGCCGGAGTGGGGGCGGGGGGATGAGAGCGGGGAGGCATACAGGTGGCAGACCAGGCCTGCCACAGCGCCAGGGCCTCGCAGCCTGGGCAGCCGCGTTTCAGAACAAGCTTGCGCGGACCTCCTTCTCACACGTGCGCGGTGTCTCCAGGTTCCAAATTCCCACCGACACAGGGCCTGGGCCCCCATGCACCTCCCGCCCAAGTCGAGCCAACCAGTCTGTCCTCTTGGGCTCAGGGTCAAGGCCTGACAGACCACGGTCTGTCCTCCAGTCTCCACAGGCCACAGCTGCTTCGGGGGAGCCCCAGGTCTGCTCTCTGCCCCGGAGACTTCATCTGTGCCTGGCCTGCGTTGCACCCTTTCCCCAGCTCCACGTCTCCCGGCACCACCCCCTAACAGGTGGCCAGCCACGCGCCTTCCTGCATTGCAGCTCCGAGCGGGGCATCCCTCGGCTCCAGTCCCTTCTTTCAACTCCACTGGGGAGCTGGCACCGCCATCTGATGCCCCAGTCCTCGCTCGCTCCACCGGCCAGCAGGCCTGAATCAGATGGCCATTCTGACGTCACCTGGCCACTCGGCAGCCCTTCAGGGAGAACACAGGCCCTTCTGCACAGCCTGCGGGGCCCGATACTCCCGGCTTGGTCTCCTGAGCCGTTTCAGATAGGACTTTAGCTGCCAGGCTACTGCACTGGGCCCAGGGCGTTAGCATTTTCTGAACATATGCACCCTGTGAACTGGACGGGGTGCATGTCCTTGCAGTTCACTCTCCCTTCTGGCATGTGCCCCCTGCCCATGCCCAGCTGGCTCTCCAGCTTCTCTGGGAATCTCTGCCGAGGTTGCACCAAGGCTGTGTGTGAGCTGACTTGGGGGACCCTTGCTGTTTATAATTCTTCCACCAGCAGAGAACCTGTGCTTCCTGTGTCTGAGGTGAACTCTGACCCTCACAGCGACCTGCGGTGTCACCCGGAGACCCAAGGATGGCACCGAGGGGTGGTTTGGAAAGCCTGTGGCTGCTTGGCCCTGGTTTGCCCCCCGTCAGGGCTCACTGGTGCTTGGTTCCACGGCTGCTTTTTCCTGAGAGGCCCCGAGACCACCATGTTGCCCAGGGTGCGGGAGGTTGGAGGGGGTAGTTGGATCCCCGCCAGCCACAGGGGAGACCCCAGTGGAGTTCCTGGCTCCTGGCTCTGGCCGGGCTGAGGCTTGGCTGGCTGCGGCATTTGGGGTGTGAGCTATCGGGAGGGAGAGCTGTCACTCAGAGAATCCTAACAAGTTTTAGATGGCCCTTCGGAGGCCGAGGGTGACACCCCCTGACAGGAGGTGCAGCGCGTGCACCGCAGCGATCCGCCGCTCTGTGGAAGGACCACTGCCCCCATGACCCATCCCGTCACCGTCACCCCCAGTCACCCCCGTCGTCACCTTGGACCTGGCTTTGAAAGTCATAGGTAGTGTGTTCGGGAGATCTTGCACCTGCTGGCTCCCGCCCCGGATGGGTGCGCGGCCAGGGCGAAGCCAGGGGCTTCCTCCCGGTCCCCACCACGGACGCAGCTCCGACGCTGGCGCCTGCTTTCCCGGGCGCCGCAGCTGATCCCGCGGCCTGTGTGGCCTCGGCCTTCCCCTCTCTCTGGGCACTCTCTATTTCCTTCAGGTTGGCGCCCCTCCCTCACTGGCCCCTTCTCACCTGGTTTTCTGCTAGGCCACTGAACAAGCACCGAGCACTCCCTTGGGGCAGACTATGAGTTCCAACTGGAAAGTGACAGAGAAGGAGGGGTCTGCTGGGTCACTCCCCAAACGCCAGCAGCTGCAGGGGCTGGGCTGTCCATGCAGGCCTCCTGCACGCAGGGACCTGAGTGGGCCACCGCTGTGGGAGGCCACTGTCCCAGCACCCCCCCCCCCACTGCTCCACACACTTGCCCTTGTAGCAAGTGGTGACACAATGGTAGGGACCCCACTGTTGGGAGTGTGTGGTCTCATGCACGCGCCCCCATGCTGTGCACGGTGGGCTGGGGGTCTTGTAGGGCGTACGGGACTCATCGGGGCCAGAGCAGAGGGAACTGGGGCTGGCTGTTGCCCACGGTGACCTGTGGCAGCACTGGCCTCGTGTGCTCCGCACTGATGACTCCTTGGGGGCTGCCTGCTCCTGGACACCAGCTCGGTGTGCAGCCACGGTGCACGCCCTGCAGGGCTGCAAACAAAGCAAATGAAAGCAGCACCATGTTCTGTGGCATGCTCACGTCTGAGTGACACCCAGGAAATGCTTAGTACCCTTCGCTGTCCCCGCCAGTGTGGGTCTCTTCCCTTTTGGAAGGTTCTCAAGCAGGCCAAGCCTGGAGCTGCACAGTGGCCAGAGCCGGACCTCAGGGCGTCTCTGCGTTGTCTCACAAGCAGAAGGCCCAAGTGTTTGGACAGTGCACAACCGGTGCCAGGCACACATACCACAGGCTTCCAGCAATGAGAACAGGTCACCAAGTTACTCATCAAGCCCAGAACTATTTACAGATTGGCGAGCATAAGGCTCAGCTGGGAGGACCCAGCCGGGGGGCTGTGGGGACGAGGGCCGGCCCACTGAGAGGCAGACCCACCGGGAGCCTGGGCCCGAGGCGGAACTGGCCCCTCCCAGGCCTCGGCCATCTCACTGTCCCTCTGGGGCAGGGACACCTCATGGCTCTCGGGAGGGGCAGGTGCCTGGCATCGGGTGTGGGTGGCGAGCCCACCGTCCAGGTTGGCCCCATGTCACGAAAAGGGCCACTGTCGGGATGACATCCAGTGTCTGCTGTATGTCAGATTTGGCCAAAGGCATGCGAGGTTGGGGGAAGGGAGGGAACAGCTGGTGGCCAGGGCCAGCCGAGGCCGGGGTGGCGCCCACTGTGAGCCCTTCAATAAGTGCACAGAACACACACTCTAGGGAAAAGTCATCAGATGTCAGAAGCGCCTGTGCTAAGCCAGCCTCTCCTTTAATTCTGGACTTTCTGAAGGGCTCTTGTGTGAGCCAGTGTCCCCTACACACCGGAGAGGACTCCTGACTACACTATGGGGAGCCCAGGCCCGGAGGTGCCCTGTGTGGTCCACACTGGCAGCAAGCAGTTCTCCAACAGCTGTTCCGACGGCCTGAGAAAACCCCGGTAATCACGGCCCGGTCCCTAGCTCCAGCTCCCACAGCTCCCACACGCATCTGCCCGAGTACTCGCTGGGCGTCACCTCTGGACCTCAGGAGTTGCCGAGGTCAGGCCGTTGACACCCTGTGTCTACACTGTGTGTCTACACTGCA